TTTTGAGTAGGAAATTGGATTAAATTTTGTTAGATGACACTAAACCTGGATGGCGAGAACTGAAATAAATGGGAATGAAGAAGAAAAATGACCCTACTCTACAGAAAGAGGAGCTCTGAGAGTATAAGAGATAGATGTTTGGTACTACCATGTACTCAACCTTCCCAGGGCTCAGGCTACTGTCTCACCTACAGCCTGGCCTTCACATACTTGTTTATGCACTGCACGTCCAATGCAGGACTTAGAACTCCTTGCATTGTGGCAGTGCTGCTGTACTCAAAAGCACCTTAAGGAACAGTTGCATTCTCTTTCGACTTGATTATTGCTTGCCTCAGCTCTTTGAGAGAAGTCAAGAGACAATTTTAAGCTTCTAGCCATGGTTGTCCAGAATGATGCAAAGACTCTATGAACTTGAGAGAATAACATGATTTAGAAATTATGATGGAATGAAACAAAACTTTACACTTTCTTAAAAAAAATACACACAACAACAGCACAAGGCATGGTGGTTCATGGCTAAAATCCCTGTACTCTAGGAAGCCTAGTCAGGACGATTTCAAGTTCAACTTCTGCCTAAGCAACTTAGACCTTTTCTCAAAATAAAACTAAAAATTGCTAGGGCTGTAGCTCTATGGAAAGGCCTTGAGTTCAATCTCTGGTATTACATTAACAACAACAACAACGACAACAACAACAATAATAATAATACAAAACAATGATATTTTAAGGTAGATGGAATATTTGACTCAGGAAGAACCTTAAAGATTATTACTTTTTAGATTTTGGACCCTCAACTTATTAGAATTATCAAATCAGAAAACAATCCATTCTCTTCCTAAGGTCCACTAATAGCTATAAGCATCTATTGTTTATAAAACAAAAGTGGACAATTTGTACTCCTCAGGGCACATCTAGCAAGTGATGAAGTTTTGTTTTGGCCTTCTAGTGTTAGCCACACAGTGAGCTTTGGACAAATGCTTGAATCGGGTCACGTTGGACCTTCATTTCGTCAGGCAATGAATATGCATAGAGGTCCCTAAATAAAACAAACTCAGCTTTTGCATGGCTTTGTGGCTGACCTTCTCCCTAGATATTAAAGCTTCATTCATTCTTACCATTCCACTTGTTTTTTTGTTTTTTTTTTTTGTACTGGAGATCGAACTCAGGACCTTGCACTTGCCAGGCAGGCCTGGTGCCACTGAGCTACAAGCCCAGCCCACCATTCCACTTCTACTAAAGATTTCCTTCTGCCAGAGTGACATGATCCTGGGCCCTGCATAAAAGTCTCATCTAGGTCACTTGTAGAGTTCTAGCTCAACATCATTAGAAAAAGAAAGTGAACATGCACTCATGTTTCTAGTTACTGTAACAAAAGTAAATGGGAAAATAATCATCCCCTGCTCTTTTTATCTAAAAAATTTCAAATTATAGGATTTTTAATTGCTCATTCATTCTCTATCGTCATTTTTCCCTTTTCAGTAAAAAGTAGTCAATCAGTGAATCCAAGTACATTTGAATCCCAACCTATCAACATTGATTATTAATACTATTCTGGATTTGGGGGAATAAGTTTTAAATAGCTCAATTCAAAACAAAGCCAGTAAAAAGGCAGAAATAAAAGTAGAAAATCTACCAATGAATGAATAATTGCAGAGCAGCATTTGTCACTATAGCTCTGACCCAGATCATTGAATCTTAAAAATCAAACCTAAATAAAGCAGACACAAAATTTCAAAACATTGCCTTCTTTTAGTTTTCTAAGTCGAGGGAGGCCTTTTATACAAGGCACTCCAGGAGCAGTTTTATTTGGGTAATGTACAGTGATGAGGAGGGCTGAAAGATTGATACAAAATTTCACTTTTGAAAATAGATTTTGAGGTTTCATTGTTGGCACTAAATAATTCCTATGTAGATTAAATTTTATAGTGTTCAAATGAGTAATATCCCCATGGAGCCATCCACCCAGTCACTATTTATCACCCCTCCGTGGAGACAGTTTCAGTATGCATAGATCCAGGACATGCCTAGGTTTCACCTTATGAAAGCCAATGACTCATGCACTGGTTTGGCATTAGACCTGGCACCAGCATTTAAGGCGCTGTCTGAGAATGACTGAATCAATAAAAGCCATTTTACATAAATAACATGCATCAAATATTGGTAAAAACTAGTACAATGATAGCAGTAAACATCTTTGCATAGAAAATCCCATTCATAAAGGGACTAATTTCCCCCTTCCCTCCACCCTGACAGGTGAGTTGAAAAATTGAGGGTCTGAGAATCTGTTACTTAGTACAACAGATCAAGGAAGTGGAGGATCTGGGCCTACGCCTGAGGATTTCTGCCTGATCTCAGGCTCCCTCCAAGACATCTTGCTGCCTAAACCCTAAGGAAAACTAAGTGCCCTGCACCGTTAGGAAGAAAAGAGATAAGTGCAGTTCCCAATATAACTATTACTGTTGCTGTTTTCTATGCCGGCTTTTAGATGTAAAACGTAAGGAGATGCAAAGTGCCATTATTATTGTTTTTCCTTGCTCAGTGGTGGAGGACCTGCAGTTGGGGCTGCACAGTCTCAGTTGAATAGAGATTTTCTCTGTCCTCATGGGAGTGAGCCTGAGCATTTCTCTGATGAAATGGAGAACAGCTGCTCGCTTCTGGGAACTAACCACAGCCCACAGTCAAGGCTGATAAGAACTCTGAGAAGAAGGGACTTCTGAGCACAGGTGTCATGAGCTCATGAGACAGAGGTGAAGTTATCACCAGAAAGGGCAATGTGCACATGTTTGAAACACAGTGGTACCAGCTTTAAAATCCAAGGACAGGTATTTGTCAGCATCAGAAAATGCTCACTGTGAGCAGAAAATTAAGAAGAGAGATAAAATTAAAGACTTTCGTAAAGCAAGTATAGGAAGTGACCACCAAAAAACAGTAATGTCTAAATCTAGCCTTGGCCTTCCCTCCAGGGCTATGTCTCTGTCATTGAAACCTCCCATTAGTATTTTTTAAAAAGCGTAGATTTGTTAGCTTGAGTAAACAGAACCACAGTAGCGGGTCTGCCAACAGGAGGTTCTTTTGAGCAGAGGAGCAGTCAGTAAGCCAAGGAAAGAAGCAGACCTCGTGGGGCCTGAAGTGAGCAGGCTACCAGAGAAGTTGAATCATGTAAATACGAGCACTTCATGTTTCCAAGCTAGATCTTAATATGCAAAACCAAAATAATATTTCAATGCATAATTTTAAGGAACAAAGAAAGGATGAGCAGAGTTCTTCAAAAACAGTGAGGGTTAAATAAACTGTGACTATTAATTTTTCTACACATGGTCCTACACTCTCCTGTACTACTTGAGGCACATGGCTTAAATAAAGTAAACTTATGACAAAATGCCAGATAGAGCAGGGAATCCCAAAGTCTGGCAAGAAGAACTCAAGAAGTTAAATAATTGTCTGTGTTGTTTAGCTGTTAGGTCTGGACTAAAACCAGGCCTGTTTCATTACAAAGCTCTTATTTAAAAAAAACAAAACAAAACAAAAAAAACAAAAAAAAACCCCTCATTCTGCTCTGTAAATGACATGATCTCTAAGTGATTGAAAGATGATAATTACATCTGTAATTTTCTTTACTTTAAAGATTTAGGTGTAAGCCCTGTTACCTTTGTCCCAGTGGTTGGCGATCCTGTGCACCACATCAGTGCCAGTATATAATGTAAATACACCACCTTGATCACCTTCTGGTTCTCCCCAAGGTTCTTCCCAGAGGTTTGGATAGAGATCCTGTGGAATCCTGCATGCTAGCCCTGGAGAGCCAGGACCCAGGGCTGCTTCTCACTTCCCCAGTCCATAGTTCCAGTCTGTTTTCTATACCTGAAAGCAGGCCTAGAAAACAGCAACAATAGTAGTTATACTGGGGACCCTATTTGTCTGTTCTTTCTAATGCTCCAGAGTGTTTATTCTTCCATAGGGGTTAGGTAAGCCACCAGCTATGCTGGACTTGATCCACATCTGAAGAGGGTGTGGTGCATCATGCTGTTCCCTGACTTCAAGGAGAGAAGCTGCTAGCTTAAAAGGAGGGTTCAGAATAAATACATTACAGATGCACCCATCTGGGGAAACTGGTGCTCTATGTATAGCCTCTTGGTCATTTTCACAAACATATATTCATTGTAAAAAGGAGAGAATCAAAGGGCAGGGCACATGGTAATGAAAGAAGATATTGGACTTGGTAAAAAGGAATCTTTTTCTGGATTTTTCTTTCCCAAAAAATAATATGGGAGGGGAGAAAATATTCAAGTAAATATGGTATGGAGGCTGAGCGTCTGTAACTTGAGCCTGGAGTCTAGGGTAAAGTTCCTAACACGTGTGGCCCCCAGGCAAGAATTAAGTCACCCTGCTCCAGATTGCTCTCTCCCTGGCTGGGCATGAATTCCAGATAGAAAGCTTTGTTAACCCCTCCTGACACCCCTCTGTTGTTTGTGTGCTGCAGTGGTAGAATGCCCACTCTCTTCTTTGGGCGTGTATCTGACTGGAGGAATCCAGTTCTGGTGAGGAGGTAGGGAAGGTCCCAGTGTGCATTCAAACATTTGAACTAATGCAGCCAGTGCCAGGAAGGGACATCCTGCTTCGCTGGGTATGGATATAGCTCAAATCACCGTACTTCATCAGGGAGTGTGAATTGAAGTTGAGGAATTAGTGACCGCTTAAAATCGCTAAAGTCCCTGAGCAGTATGTGCATAGGCACACATGAGAGCTGGGATCTCAGAGCAGTCAGAACTTGCTTGAGCGGCAAATGTGGTCAGTGGAAATGAACTCTCAGTGCAGCCCACGACACGTGACTTCCTATTTCTGTAAGGTACTTCCAGAGGACTTCCTCTGTAAACCCAGCCTGGGTCCCAGGAGATTTCCTTCAGCGCCGTCTGTGGCTGAGTTTACTTTCAGCCTGGGACAGAAGTTTTTCCCGGAGATATGGTGTTAGTTTCTTTTCTTTCTCTTTTCTTTGCCTTTGGCAGCATGCAAGGATCTTGTGGCTCCTGTTTGTGATCGGAAACTGAATACCCTGGTGCAGATCTCAGTAATCCATCCCACAGAGCAGAGCCTGACAAGATATTCCAGCACTGAAATTGTAGAGGTGAGCGTGCTGCGTGCCTGCTTTCTGTCTCTCCCTCTCTCATCCCCCTGCACTCACTCCCTCTCTCTCTTTCCCTCTGTCTATCTCCCCCACCCTCCCAGCAAACAGCTGAAATGAGTTCTTTCAAAGTCTGTAGCTATGCTGTGATTGTCATCTGTCATTTAGTAACACATAACAGAGGTTATTAAACATAAGCATGCATTGGTCACTTACCAGAACAAACACATGGATGAAGTACTCGTCTTTTTCATTGGAAGACCTTATTTTCCTTCCACACGTAGTAATTCCCACTCTGAATTCCCAAATAAGGAATAGAATAAAGAGAGAGACAAAAATCATACGGATTTTAAATGAAATGTTGTGAACACCTATGTTAGGGAAAAGGTGTAGTCATAGGAGTTTTAAACGTGTTATAAATTTTGCTCCTTTTCTTTTTTCCTTTGTTCTTCAGTCTAAATGTGGGAAACCTTACATTGTTTCCTGTGTGTATGTGTCTTTCAAAGTTCAGAGTTTTTCAAAGAAAGTTAGGTTATTAATTTGAGAAACTGTAATGTTTCCAGGCAAAAGGTGTATATATTACTCATCTGATGAGAGATTTCCTATTTACATTTATTGTTACTAATGTAGCATTCAGAATGTGTCAGGAGGAATCTCGTTATTGTGTTGGATCAGATTCAAAAGGGGAAGTATTTCCCTTTGGATAATTTTGTTATGATCACACATTTCACAACCTTAGTGAAAGACACTTAGTTGAACATCTGGGACTGGAGAAAGTGTACCCTAAATTCCTTCAGATTGACTTGTTTTATTTTTAGACTTTGAGCTGCATCTGTTTGGAATGAAGAGTTTCTTCCTAAGAATCTAAGCAGCCTGCCCCAGACCTGGCTGGCCCAGCGATGCCTGCCTGCTTTGATGCAGTTAGTGGAATCAATGATTCAGACTGAACTTGAGTCATTTCTATAATGGGAATGACCCAGATATTCATGTAGCCCTGAATCTGCTCTTTGGAAACTATAGATTTCTATGGATAATTAATGCTGTAGATGAATTAACAGAAATAATCTTATTCATATAAAGACTACTTGACTAAAATTGTTAATTTTATATGTTCCAAGTAAATTGTTTATGAAATATTGCCAAAACTTCAAAATAGTTTATTTATTTCTGAGTTTTCCATCACTTCCCCCTCAATACTTTTATTATGTTGAAACATCTATCATATGTTAAGCATAAAAAATGATATATGCTGCCCCATTTCAAAATTTTGTATTTGAATGTGTATTTTTTGTTGACTGTTTTATTCAGGACCTATCCCCAAGGGTCTAATACAATGTCAAGCAAATGTATTTGTTGAATACAAGAATGAATGAGTGAATCAATGAATGAACATTTGAATGAATAACTTGAGGTTTTAGAAATTTCCATAGACATGGTCTAAAGAACTCGAGCAAATATTCCCACGATAGGCAGTTTAATATTTTGTATAGACATTGAATATAAATTTTATAAAATTTAATTTTAAACACCAGTTCTCTAAAAGTAAATTCTGAGGCGTTGAAATATCCTGTGTACTGCATCCTGAGCTAGTCATTTCATAGTCCCAAATGCACCATATTTAGAGTTCTCTCATTAGTTTTCATGTTGGTCTGTAAAAAAATATCACAGTTGAACATGGAAAACCAAATGGGCCCTCTCAGGGCACGGTTTTCAGTGCAGTCATAGCAAAGAATGTGCAGCAGATTACCAAATGAACATTTTTGAGAAAATATCTTCATTTTAATTATATTGGGCAATATCTTAGATTATTTTCATAAATTACAAGTTAAAGCAATTAAATACCTTGTAAGTGGATTGACAGCTGGGCCTAAAGAAAGCTTCTGCATAGAATGAAAATAAATTGTTTCACAAGATTCATTATCAGCAGATCTGACAGGAATGTAAATCCATCTACTGTCAGAAGCTGTATCAGTTCTGTGAAGCCCTGGTCCTTGTTGCCCACAAGTGAGACTTGGCGATTCAGAGCTCTCTTCCGATAGAACTGTTTTCTAGAAGAACGGAGACCCACTGTCCTCCTGCTCCTATGTCCCTGCATGCTGCCCACTGCAGTTGCTGCCTGCTGGAATCCAAGTTGTCTGCTTGTGCTCTTGCAGGGAACAAGAGACCCGCTGTTCTTGACTGGTGTCATATTCCCATCCGAATACCCCATCTATGAGGAGACCAGCATAAAACTAACTGTCTATGATGTCAAAGATAAGTCTCACGACACGGTAAGTACATGCCCTTCTTTCTGTCTTTGAGAAAGAGAGTTACGCTCTTTCGATGTATTAACACTTCTGATGCAAGTGCCACTTTTCAGAGAACTTATTTGGACTGTTTGTACTTGCCTTATGTTTATAGGTGGCTGAGTATTTTTCAAATTAATTTGACTTATTAATACATTGGCAATTTGTTGGGAGCAACACCTTTCTGAATAGATTTTTCTCTTTTTCAGAAAAACCACTGACTTGATCCATTGGTTTACCTTTTTTGTTGTTGTTTTGTTCCTTTAAGCTAAAAGGGGTACTACTGTGGACAGAAAGTAAATGAGAGAGATTAAATAATATTTCAAAATGTTCTAGATGTAATGATTCTAAAACAGGGGTTTGACAAAATACTCTTACAATTTACTCTTTCACCTACTGTATTGAATCTATCGTTTTCTGGTGTTGTTACTAGAGGAAAACCAATAGAAAACACAATAAGAAGCACTAGGCAGAAGTTTTAATTGGCCTTTTTACCTTAAATGTAAAGTCCCAGGGGTCTTCTGTCACAGATACTTCAGTTTTCCTACCTGATTTGAATTTCCTTCCATCTGAGTCATCTCTCCTGGTTACATTAGGTACCTGGGAATGATTTCTAGAGCTCACACTTACAGTTCCTGGACTGGAGCGAATGCTGTTGGGGTGATGTTGAAAAGAGAGAAGCAGCCTCTTGGTTCATTCTCTCCCATGAGCATCAACTTTAGTGTGTAAGGCAGGGGAGCCATGGAAACCCTCATTACCCTAGACCATTTCTAGAGTAAAGCATGAGGCCGGAAAGCTTTGATGGCAGGTGAGGCATGGGTTCAAGAGGCTTCTGGCAGAAGCTCGGGGATGCTGCTAGGCCTGAAGAACCACAAAGTACCTCCTACTATGGGGGGAAAGGCAACTTTACAGTCTGCCCATACTTAAGCATTTCTGTTTTTCTTGTGATGACTCCTTTTCAGTTTTTATTGCAAAGCATATAACATAGGTAGAAGGAACTTGCATTTAGTCCAATGCTGGGGATATTTAGTAGAAGAAAAGTAATCTATACTGAAGGCATTTTCACTCATCTTAGTCCCAGAAAAGTTCATTTTACTCTACAACTGTAGAATAAATTATCAACTAAATGCACAGTGTATACATGGGATATCAATATTTGAGGGATCTGGTTCATTTATTAATGAGGCAGGTTCTATGGCCAGTCTAGATTTATTTCTCTTACTAGCTTTATATATCTGGGAAAGTTAATTTTTGGTTTTTCCAATTCCTTTTATAATATTTACCTTGTGGGGCTGTTATAAACATCAAATAGATTCTATGTGGTAAAATGTTTGGAAGCCCAACTTCTACTGAGTAAGTAATAAGTATATGTTGTGGCTATTACTGCTATTATTATTCTGACTACTGACTCACAGTTCTTCATAAGTATGAAAATCAAATAAGGAAATAAAATTATTTTCTGCATTTACTAACTTTGTTATTCTTAAGAAGTCTTACATTTGTTGTTTCTATTAAAATTACCTTCTTTGAAAAAGAGGCAAGAATTTTGGTTGACACTGCAATGGAAAAATATTGGCTTGGGAGTTTTGTCTTTTCCTTCCCATTCCTCCTGATTGCTGTGACTGTTAAGTCTATGTGTGGAAAAGTAGCAGTCTTGTAGTGGGACATCTGGACCAGGTTTGATGGATTAAGCACAAGGCCCCACATTTACTGCCTTTCATTGTTTTTGGTACTAGGGATTGAACCCATAGAGTCCTTACTGTGTTGCAACCCCAGCCTTTTTATTTTATTTCTTTTAAAATTGTAATAGAATATTTTGCCAAGCCACTATTTGCCCAGGGTGGGCTGAGACTTGTCTCAGCCTCCCAAAGTTCTGTGATTCAGGTATGTACCACCATGCCCAATGCTTTGTTCTCATCTTCTAATCTTTAAAAAAAAAGAGAGAAATGGATGGAAAGGAAGAAAATTTACAAAGTTGAAGAGTATGGAGAGATCTAGTTAAAATGGAGGTTGATATTGAATCATACAGCTGTACAGAGAAGTAATAAAGCAGAGAATGCTCCAGATGAAGAGAAAGCAGGCAAAAATCATGGGATTTTACGTTTGGCAATGCATATGATTAAACTTAACCTTCCAACCGTCTAGGGTACAGACAGGCCAGAAACATGGACGGAGCAGTGTTAGAAGAACATTATGCTACAGAAATGCAAATGTCGCTTCTAAATGCATTGATTTGTTAAGTATTTAGAAAAATCAGAGTAAGAAATATTAAATACCAAAGGTGTTTTTAATCCCCTTTTATCCCCTTCATTTAAAATATGTGTGCACATTAAAGCTTTAGAGATAAACAAATTGCTTACTCATTAATTATGCTTTGTCTTGACTCCAGTTCTAGAAACTAATTATTTGGGGTCTTTTAAAGACTTTCTTCCTTGATCAGAAGTGTTAATCACATAAAAGTATTAGATGAACTGAAACCCCTGCTGTGAAATAAAATTTTTGAAATTTGAACATACTTAAGAAATACAACCAACTTTCATTTACCAAATGCTGTTAATTAAAGCATAACCTCATCCTTAAAATAGCTAACAATTAGCTCTAGTGAAGGAAGTGTAAATAGAAGCACAGTTCATTAATATTCTAATAGTCGCTATGTACTTGTAGTCTTTCTCCTGGCATCTTGCTTTTTCTCCTGTCTTATGCTTTCTTTTGGGATGGGTGGTAGGGGGAGGAAGCAAGTGCTTTGAAGTACAGCTTAGATAGTAATTGTGAGCACTTAACAACCTAAATACTTTAAGAGCATCAACTTTCTAAGGCATAAAAATGAATTTGGGAATATTTGTATGTTTTGGAAGATTAATGAATCGTATGCATGTACGTATATAAAAGTAATTTAAGTCTTTGGTTCTAGCGAATAAATTATTGATGATATTAGACTGACCCAGAATAGTCAGTTTTGTACTGGTTAAATGCTGTTTAGCTGAATCAGCTTACTTAGTTTTGTGTTTTCCTTAGCTTGTGTTTTCCTATTGAATTTAATATTCCTTGATGATAACAGTCAAATAGACATGGTACTTTGCTATTTCATATTCATTACATGCACACTAGTGTTAGATGTTTTTTAAAAGAAATGGCAACCTTTCCATTGGGTCCTCGATGCAGCTACTACCTTGCTAACTCATTGTTGTATTTTTTTAAACAACTGAGCCTAATATTGAATATCTTTTGACTTCAGCAGAAATGCAATTAATCATCATAATAAATGAGAGGAGTGTAATATTGGTTCAGAATGGCTCCTGCTTCCTTCTCTACATCCACCAGCTTCCCATTCATGCACTATGAATAGATAATGCCTGGAAGGTAGGGGTGGGGTGAAAAGTAGGGATCTTAGTGTCCTCAGGATTTAAATGATGTTTTGTTTATTTTCTACATTGTAAAGAAAGATATGATGTACCTATAACTTGGAAAGATATAATGTACCTATATCTGACTGTATGCCCCATTTAAAATCTCTCCAAAACTGAAACACAATAACAAGTGTTTTCAGAATGTTATTTCAGGTAATCAGCCAGGGAGTCAGGCTGGGAATCAGAGTTCTCCAAATTGTACAGTGGAAACTTCAGAGGAAAGAAAAAATTAGAAGCCACAGAATACACTGAATATCACTATCAAAATTTGTCTCTTTCCCTTTTATCCTATTCAGTTTGGCATTTGGGAAGGTACAAAATGAGGCTGTGTCAACACCACTTATGATGAAAGCCATCAAATTTGCAAACATGATTAGGTCACAATTATTTTTTGCCTATGGTTGAAATTTGAATTCTGCTCTGTTTTGCAGAAGTGTACATTGACCCCATTCTTTTTGCTCTGAGGATAAATAAATGTTCATTCTATCCTCAGCTAATTAGCTTATAGGACAGAATCAGCTTATAGATACTGAACATTTCTCAGGTGAGGATATATATCCTAAGACATTTTTTACTACCAATTACTAGCAACTCCCTCATTAGAACCTTTCTGAAATTTTGACTTTATCAAGATTAGATGTAAATTTATTACATCATGTGTGTTACATGCTCAAGGCAATTTAGTTCTACGACCATTATCTAAACAGAAGTATCCAGTTTCCTTTAAAAATTTTCCATAGAAAATAAAAGCATTTTAATTTGTAGTATAATTTACCTTCACTTGAGTTTCTAAATTGGTTTCTCGAGAATGTGAAGTTTATACTATATTTAAATATAAGTTCTGTTAGCTGACCTTCCTCTTGGTCTAGAAGACACAATGCAGTGGTTAAGGAAAAAGAAATTATCAATTGCTGAGTACAAAGCAAACACTATGGTTAATATATTATCTATGATTTCTTCTCTAATCTCCATAAAATTTTTTTGAGGAAGTCATTATTAAACCCATTTTCAAGATGAAGAATTTGCTATTCTGAGAACTACAGAGCAAGTCATAGATCTTTAGTAATCTCCAGGCTATCACATGGTATGTATGTATTGTTAATAAGATTCCCTTCATTCCCACCCCCCACAGTATAATATTTTACTTCAACTGGTGCTTTAAAATTGCTCTTCATTTGGTGTTTCAGTTGAGACCTAATTTGGTGCTTCAAAGTTGATTAGTTGAGAAAATATCAGTATTCAAAAATAGGGGAAGTATCCATGTCCCAAATTATTAAGCCTTTAAACTAAAAGCATGTGACTTATTGCAGATGTCCAAATAAATTTTATAATGGAGCAGCCAACATATTCATGGAAAAAAGTGGTTGTTATGACATTTTGTGAAATGCCTAAGTTCATGGCTTAAAGGTTTGCCTTATTCCCAGCACTTTGTTTCCCTTTTTCTCTGGGGTGTTCTATGTGGATCTTTTAGCCCATTCATTCACTGGACCTTTGGCTTTTGCAATGCTCCTGTCTATGCTTGATGTTTTGTGAAGGGAGCTACAGATTCCATGTAGAAGATGCTAAGGGCTCTAAAGC